TTAAAATTACTTTATGGGTATCAAAATATCATTTCGACAGACGAGGTGAGCAAATGCCTCTTGGCAAATGACACCGATAGAATTTCTTGATGTAAGACTATATATATATATATATATATATATATATATATATATATATATATATATATATATATATATATATATATAATTATCGCTCTACTATCGGTATCGAACCCTCTTTTGGATTAATGCTGTGAACGTTAGAATTTATATATTACTTTCGTTCTCATTGTATCTTATATATAGTCAAACCTAGAGCGCCAGACAAATCTACCAAGGTTTCACCTAAGTGGATCGTCAGGGAAAGCTGGCTAAAGAGGTAAAGAAAGGTGCATACTTATAGACAAAAACAAAAGACCAAGACCACGTGACCAAACAAAAAAAACAAAACAACAATTGAGAAGGTGAAGGAGAAATTTATTCGAAACTATTAATTGATTACTCGTATCGTTTTTTTTTTCTTTGGGCTTTGGACCTGTATGCTGTACGCTTATTTTCGACAGACGTTCATGTTCCTAGCTCTTTCTTTTTTTAAAACCTTTTTTTTCCTTCGAGATTGATTTGACTATAAGCAAATCAAGAAACCGAATGTTTTCCGAAACGAGTGTAGTTACCTATATATATATATATATATATATATATATATATATATATATATCGTGAAATCAATAAAAAATGATAGTTACGTTGATGTGACGACACATACTCACGAAGAAAGAGGGTGGTGACATTCGTATGTAAATATGAAAGGTCAACACTGAGCGGCGACAGTTGATTTCATGCTTGAACGCATGGCCTGAAGACTGCATTCAAGCATTAAACAGATGTCGTCTCTTGGGGTTGTCTTCAGTGTCTACAGTTTGTCCCAAAATAATCTATACACTCTTTGAATCGTTATAACTTATTCAATTTATGTATTTTGACTTGTAAATAAGATTAATACAAGAGAAAGAATACACATTTAAAGAATTTGAGAGGAAAAATATACAAAAGCATTGAAAATTAACTTTAATCGGATAAAAGCTACTTGGGGCAATGGCAGAATGTTCATATAATGATGAGTTCACATCAAGTGCTCAAACAGGTTGCCGTTCTGTTCAATACACTTTACATATCTTGAAGAAATAGACCTACAAACGTCCAGTAACATTTCCTCTGGTATGTGATCACTTTCTTCATCAATTGCTACTCTCATTTCAGCAAATGTTTCCGACTTTCTGTTGTAAACTGTCTTTTAGAAACCCCCACAAAAAGAAATCCAAGGGTGTCAAATCTGATGGTCTAGGTGGGTATTCAACTGTCCCTCTTCTTCCAATCCATCTGTTTTGCATATTTTCATACATATAAAAAATGTATTATTAACTATTACTATTTAAAAAGTGTATACATTATTTTGGGACAACTTATATATATATATGTATATATATGTGTGTGTGTGTGTGATGGACGAAAGTGAGAAACACCCCACCCCCGAAAAGGGGCCACATTTCTGTTGGGTACCTGCAGACTCTAGTATAAACCCGAAATATGTTAACATATTTAGCCTAGTGCAAAACGAATTCATATCTATATTTTTTGACCCTGATGTAAACCAGGCTTATATCGATTTACCTATTCATTAATTTTGATTTTTATCCTTTGAAACTCATGGGTTCGTCATTAGATAACCTTACAATTGTTGGTACAGGGTTAAAATAACCAAACCAAAATAACTAAGTCTTGTTAAAAATGTGTTTACAGTTCATCCAGGCAAGCGTGTAGTAAGCAAAATTGCATGAGAACCGGCCCTGAATTGAGCTGTATTTTTTTTCTTAAATTTCACTTACTGAAACGTATGGCTTTCTAAGTTAGACACGGTGTGTACGTTCGCATGTGCGATACCTTGTGCTGCTACATGCGATAATAATTCCGATTAAGATTGGGGCGCTTACTCGATTTGAGGCTTGCTGAAGAATGGTCGAGGTTAATGGAAGGAAATTTGATTCAAAAGCAGAGCCAGGTTAGATTTCAACGCGTTTAAAGGTGTGGGGGGGGGAATGAAGCCAAAATATCGGGTAGGAAAATGGCGGTTACGATGAAGTGAAAAAGATAATCCAGAAGGAAATGTTCTACATTGAAAAAGAATAAAATGTTGGTAATCAAAACGGAAAGAGGATTAATGATATTTAAAAAAAAAAAAAAAGAAAAGAAAAAAAACCCGAAAAAATCTGAAATGAAAAAAATGAAGAAAAATGAATTAAGCTTGAAAGAGAAAACAAAATGAATTGAAAGAAATCTCGAAGAATAGAATGAAATTGGCGTATTCGGTCGAAATAAGAGCGTAAATGAAAAAGGAACGAACAGAATTGAAGAAAGAAAATCAATGATAAATGAATGTTTGAAAAAGTGAAACTGGAAGGTGTGATAAAATGCTTTTAAAAAACAATACTGAGATGCTTAAAAAATACGTTGAACCTTTAAAAAAAAATCAGAAACCAGAAGTCGGCAAAGAAGCATGAAACCGGAAGTAGGCGAAAAACAATGGCGGTTTATATTAAAAAAAAAACAAAAACAAAAATAGTATCAAATTTGCAGAGTTAAAGAATAAAACGGCAAAATGCAAATAGAATATAATTTTCAGATTACGAATCTAAAACGATGAAAAGAAATTAGTAAAGTCAGGACCAAAAATAAATTTGAGAAAGAATTTTTGAATAAATAGAACCGCAGTAAAATAAGGAAACCTGTCAAGTCGATCAAATTTTGAGTGATGGGGGAAATTAGGATCATAGAAAAAATATAATTGGATATGAATTGTTGGGAAATTAAGTAGACATTGGATAGAATCCCAAAAGATTGACAAGATGTGAAAAGTTAAATTATTGAATGAAAATATTCCAGTCGAATAGTTGAATGCAATTTTTTAAAAATCAATAATGAATTGAGGCCTAAATGAATTAACCTATCACAGTTCGCTAATCAGCTTCAATGATAGATTTACAACGTTCTACTGGCTTCTTTTTTTTTTTTTGTACAGTAAGTTTCATTTTGTACAAGGCCCGGGTGCCACTCGAGATAGAGGGTTACATTAGGGAACAGTTTATGTGGATAAAAGAGGAAGGTGACGTTTAACTCCAAACTTGAACAGATTACGATTGTATTGATCGGGGAAACAACCTCTTGGGAGTCTGTTCCATATAGCAATGGTTCGCGGGAAGAAACTGTTCGGGTGGTACTTACATCTCTTCAATGGAATACGGAGGGAATGTGGGTGGTTTGATACAAGGTAAATGATGTATCCTTTTCGTTTTCATTATCCCGAAAATTTCATCGTTGCTCACATGTTCGGTCCATGGTATTCTCAGCAACCTTCTGTAGAACAACATTTCTGCTGCTTCTTTGAGGAGATTGTCTAGCACTCACTGACATATAGAAGGATAGGTATCACATATCAGTACTCTTTTCTTTGTTTCTAAGTTTTTCCTGTTTCTTAATACTCTGCTTAGCTTTTGGAAGGCCACAATGCGCCTTCGGATTTCAGTGTCGCACTTTTCGTTCGTTACAACACTTCCCAAATATTTAAATTTTTATACTTGTTAAGTCGGGACAATTACCTTTCGCCCAATTCCCGTCTCCCTCTCTCTTTTTTGAGTTTTTCTTCACTACCCATCTTATCTTTTATGTCGCTAATTTTGTACCTATTTCTTCGTTTTTTCTTGTTTTAATGTTCATCACATTTCAGCTGCTGTCCCCTCAGGCCTTCTTCAGGTGTCTATTGCGTACGATAACCAACCGCTATAACTAATAGGTAGTAAAACGAGAATAAAATTCACCATATCTATTGTTTTTAATTTCTCCATCTGTCATATTTTTTTCCACATGCCTCACACGTTACATTACCTTTGCCTTTCTTCTCGCTTGTGTACAACCATTTTTATTTCTTGCAGATCCAATCAATAAAAAATGCTAGACACAGAATCTATCATTGTCTAAATATCTCATCAGACACACAATTTATGTATCGTATGTTTTAAGGCGTGCAAACTACATTGGCATTTTTAACACCTTTAAATCAATGGATCTTGCACGCTATGAAATACCCACAAAACCAGGGACAACAACCCCAAAAAATGAACAAGAATTTGAACCCGCTAAAATAACATCATTTTTCTTTATCATTTCACCCCAAGTAAGGCGATAATGCGATTAAGACGCAATGGATTACTGATAGTGAACGATAACGAGAATACTTTAGCGATGAGAAAAGAGAATAAAAGATTAAGTATCAGAATATATGGTGATTGACATTACATTTACTTTTTTGAAGATCTTGGCAGGAAAACAAGAAAATGGGAGAGAGATCCACATGCAAGAAAAACAACCGTTAAGGTAGAACTTACGGTTACATCTGGCTAATTCAACGAAGAGACTAAGTTGCCAGCCTAGTAGTACATTTAAATTCATACGGGTGGGATACAAAGGAGGGCCCAGTAGAACAATCGGCATGGGAAATATTCATAGAAAAGACAGAGGAAATCTACGCCATATCAGTGAGAAAAGTGATTGAAGTCAATATGTTAGGTCAGGACCGATAACATTACAGACCCTTCTTTTGGGTTTTGTCAAGAATCTCGAAACATACTACAGGAGCACCAGACCAGAATGTGGATAGTTTCCTACAATGTAAATGATATGTCGGGTCCTAGCCATGAAGGGTAGACCTGGCGGAACCGAGGAATATACTTCGCCCGAGAAGTTTACATGTAAATAACGATAGAACAGTGAGAGCCTCATCAAATGATTCTTCTCCAACAAGAACCCTGAGACGCTTTTGAACTCTATCAAGAGTGGAAAGTGTGGACTGAGTAGCTCCCGACCAAAAATGACAACAATTCTCCATTTTCGACCAGGTAAAGGATAGCATGAGGAGCGGTACAGAGAGTCGATTTTTTGCCGAAATCTTTATCTATGGATCGTACCCTTGATAATTTCTCAGCGATATGAGCTTGCCATTCAGTGCTTATTTCCTAGATTGTCTCTGGTAAAGAACCACTCCTCATTTCATTCTCTTTTCTTTACTCGCTTTTTTTAATCAAATTCAATACAAAAGCAAACATTTCTGCAAGATATTCTTGCTCGGCGCCACACTCCAATAGACTCCGTATCAAGTTACATAATTTGGATTTAGTCGGCTTTGTTACAAGCCAATGACCATTAAACACCCAGAGAGAAAAGGAAAACCCTCAATGAGAGATTATCAAATTAGACAATTGTAAGTGCACTCAGAAGTCGTGACTTAATAAATTATGGCGCCGTAGCAGACATTATGAAAGCCATTTTTTAAACAACTTTTGTTGATTGGAATCCACATCTATGTATGCAGCTAGTGAGGTAAAACACGACGTCGATGAAAGGAAGGCTTTTGAGATCGAAGCCAATGGCCAAAACTGAGGGTTCCTTTTAATATATTAACATAAACACACAACCACACACAAAACACAAAAATGGAAATAGAAGGTTCTCAAGGGTCATAAAATGATAAGAAGAAGACATCTTTCCTCACCCATTCTCGGGTCAATCCTAATGGTTTTATTACCCCTTAAGCAGAAAATCACTTGCGCCACCAGTCCACGAAAGGCATCAGGATTACTACTACACAAGACAGACAATGGTTAGAGTTCGAAAAACATAAGGAAAATTTATTCCTTTTAATATGTGAAAAGATCTACTCTTTGTCTGAAGAAGGTCACGAGACCGGAAACGTGTGTAGCAAAAATATGGTAAATAAAATATAATATATATATAAAAATACACATTATAACCAAAAAGGTTTGCGGTTTCTCTCTACTTTTTATATATATATATATATATATATATATATATATATATATATATATATATATAGGCAGTATATTTTCATTCAAGCGTTCAAAAAAACAATGTACAATAAAATTCCGTTTCTTCATGTATTGTTAGATACCAACAACAATACATTTACTACATCCCCATCCAAAAAACCAACTAGCATAAACACGTGCACTCTGAACTATAAAAGTGAATGTCCTAATTATTACAAAATAGCTATTATGCGAAACTTAAGAAACTGTGCAAAAGCAAATTCTTCAACAAAAAAGATTTTCTACATGCAATTAAAAAGTATTAAACAAACCCTCATTAATAATAACTTCCCTATTTACATTGTTGATGAACAAACTAGACGAGCTATTGGGAATATTAACATCAGAACATAATACTTTCTCAAATAACTCTTGACACATCAACTGATCATAATAAAATACTTTCTCACTATAAAAAGAATGAAAAAAATCTAAAAAGACTCATAAATACTAATATATCCTCCACAGATCCTAGTGAAAAAACAGAATTAATTATATACTGTAGTAAATTTAATGAAAGACAATTTTAGAATTATTTTTAATCACTCTTCTGCAGTTACCAAGAAATTAATCAGTAGACTAGAAAGGAATAAAATTAAAATAGAGAAATATATGTCTAAATTATTTAACCAAAAACACACACACACACACATATATATATATATATATATATATATATATATATATATATATATATATGGGAGGATGGCCGAGTGGTTAGAACGTTCGGTTTCTGACTATGAGACCCGAACCTCACCAGGGTTGATTTGTCAGGAAATAGACTTCTCAGTGTTATTGGTCTGGAGAAGGGGGAACCCAGCGTGCGGCACCTTTTGGAAAGTGCCTGAAAACCATACCACGGCTGACCCAAGCCTTATGAGTGAAATTTGGTAGACGGTACCTTTGGAAGCCGTCGATAGTTTTACTAGCCGAAGTCACAGTACCCGTGTTCAGATTGTTGATCACGCTAGATAACACGCTGTCTCCCAGAAACTATAAGTAAGGTCTGCTCAGATATATATATATATATCTGTAGTTCACTGCTACCAGCAAGCAGAAATTTTTTTCCTTCTGATGATGGCCATGTTGGCCGAAACTAGTCGAGGAATCTAAATGAAAGAATATTTATATACAACCCATTGTGTCTGTAGAGTTTAATTTATTAATATTTTTTATTGTTCAGTATATATATATATATATATATATATATATATATATATATATATATATATATTATATAATGGATTTTTATTTATTAATCCGACAGATTTTTATAACATTAAATAAGATTTTCTCGAATATTCAAGCTTGTATACGAAAATAAATATATTGCTTATTAAATAAACGTGGCGTTTACTCAAATATGAACATCCACTAAAAAAAAATAATGTGTAAAGTAATTTAATTATTATTTAATTATTTTGTAGGTGCAGTTAAATTAGTAAAAAGAGAGAAACGTTGGGACTTAGAGATGCTTTTAATTTCAGTTAAATTGTGATATTCATCATCTACCCTTTCTAGCAGTTTGAATTTATAGAGGTAGGAGACCTTAATCTGGGACAGCAACAAACGATCCCTTTGCAGGGAAATAAGGTTTTTAAAAAAATCACTTATCTTCATTCATTGTTTGAATGTTTTACTTTTCTTCCTTTATCTTTTCTAGAATTAGATTTCTGATCGATGTTTACATGGTGACATAAGTAATGCAAAGACGCCATTAATCGCCACCATTTCTGACACGACGACACAGACGACAGCTTAAATTTATCTTCCTTCACAGTTCCATTTTATTTTTTCTTTCTATATCTCTCTTGTTTACTGTTGAATTATTTTTTCTTTCTTTCTCTCCATTGCCCACTTCTTATTTACTCTTCCTCCTCCCTCGATCATTCTTTATGTCGTACTCCCTCTCTCTCTCTCTCTCTCTCTCTTGTTCAGTCTCTGTTATTTCCTCTTTCTCCCCTCTTTCCTGTTCAGTCATTATTTCCTCCTACGCTTTCTTTTGCTCAGTTTTGACTCAGCTTCCTCTTTTTTCTCTTTTGCTCATTTTAATTCCATCTTTCTCGCCACTCTCTTTTTATTTGCTCCTCCTCGTCCTCTCTCTTTTCCTCGCTCACTATTCGCTCGTCCTCTCTTATTCTTCCTCGCTCTTTATTTGTTCTTCCCTTCTCTCTCTTGCTTATTCTTTATTTTTTCTTCTCTCTCTCTCTCTCTTTATTTGCTCTTCTCCTCTTTCTCTCTCTCCACTTGCTCTTCTCCTCTCTCTCTCTCTTTACTTGCTCTTCTCTCTCTCTCTCTCTTTACTTGCTCTTCTCCTCTCTCTCTCTCTCTTTACTTGCTCTTCTCCTCTCTCTCTCTCTTTACTTGCTCTTCTCCTCTCTCTCTCTCTTTACTTGCTCTTCTCCTCTCTCTCTCTCTTTACTTGCTCTTCTCCTCTCTCTCTCTCTTTACTTGCTCTTCTCCCTCTCTCTCTCTCTTTGCCTCTTCCCCTCTCTCTCTTCTTGCTCTTCCCCTCTGTCTCTCTCTCTCTCTCTTTCTTGCTCTTCCCCTCTGTCTCTCTCTCTCTTTACTTGCTCTTCCCCTCTCTCTCTCTTTATTTACTCTTCCTCTCTATTTATTTGCACTTTCTCTCTATATATTTCCTCCTCTCTCTCTATTTACTCTTCCTCTCTCTTTTGCTCACTCTTTATTTACCGTTCCCTACTCACTCTTGCTCTCTCTCTACATGTTCTTCCTCTCCTAGTTTATTTGCTCTTCTCTCTCTCTCTCTATTGCTCACTCTTTATTTGTTTTACCTTTCTCTCTCTCTCTTGCCCACAATTTACTTGCTCTTTCTCTTTCTTTCTTTATTTGCTCTTCGTCTCTCTCTCTCTCTCTCTCTCTATTTGTTCTCCGTCTCTGTCTCTTTATTTACTATTCGACTCTCTCTTTATTTACTCTTCGACTCTCTCTCTCTCTCTCTCTTTATTTACTCTTCGACTCTCTCTCGCTCTCTATTTGCTCTTCCTCACTCTCTCTCTTCCCTACTCGTCATTTGCTTGTACTTTCCTTTTCTTTCGCTCCCTAACTATTTGCACCTCCTGTTCATATCTCTTTGCTCACACTCGTATCTTTCTGCATAACATTGGTGTATTTATTGATTCACTGTGAACAAATAAAAAAAGTTCCTAATACTCGACAGACCAAAGCAAATAAATGAAAAAGAGAAAGACTGCATTGCACCAGTCTTCTAAATTAAGAGGTTCGTCTTTATATGAAAACCAACATTAGATATTCTCTGTGGCCTGAAAGCCAACAGAACTATCTCAGCAAGTCTGATTCAAGGCCATCAAAGAGTAATGAACACGTGGCTATCGAAGATTTATATATGAAACTAGATTTCTACAACTGATAACTCTGTGTGTGTGTGTGAGTGAAAGATGCAATACAGAAAAAGGGCTGTGCCTGCATGGATGTAGGATTTCTTTTTCATTGACAAAGTTTGGTGTAATCTTGAAGTAATTCCGGGGTGCGCTGAGCTCGTAGTAATGCTGTTTCAACTCCCGAAACACTACTTGATCTGAGTAATCTTCAAGGATTTCCGAATGTAACCCTTTGTTTAATCTATGGGAATAGATTGTTCTTGTTCCGCTGTTCATGCCTCGTGATGTCTCGTTTAGTTCTTAATACTGCCCTATTACTAGTCGTTCTGTTCCCACTGATTCCCAACTTGTATTGCCTGAACCCGATATTGAACTCGCAATTACTATATTATCTGATTATTGAACCAACCGACCAATCCTATCGTTCCCACTGACACCTGAAGATGGTCGGAAATTTTATAATAATTTGACATTATGTTGTCCAATGTCGAAACATGTGAAAAAAAATCTTTAAGATAATAGTTCCGTGATAAGTAAATGCAGTTTAAATTGCTCGTCCTGGTTTAATTGAAATTGTATTTTTGAACCCGATGAAAAATTCGGCTGTTTTATATCTACTACTGCCAGGGGAGTTATTAATACTTGTTGTATTGTATATATACTAATAAAGAAATATCAGTACGCTTGCAAGTGGGCATGATAGCGAGTAAGACAAGTTTTACTGCAGGAAGTAAACTTTCCCATATTGAATTAAAACAACACAAATGTTCACTTTCTTACCCTTGATCAGGGCTGTTTACTAACAACGGTTTGGGAGTTGGGATAAAAAATAAATAAATAAACGCATAATACGATGAAAAATGTTGGAATTTGTGAGAGTCATTTTTAAAAGTTTTAAGTATTACACATACACACACATTGGGTTCATGTGGGTAGCAGTTTTTCATTAATGTATGTTTGATTGAAGACCAACGACATAATTTAATTCTTTTTGCCATTCGGATCTTTTTTCTGGATTTTGTTGAGAATTTGAGCACAAATTATCCAATGTCTTCCGAGAACTTTAGGCTTCCATAAACTATGAATAAATCATTTACAGTGTAACCGGATATGAGAAAGATTTACAGTGTAACCGGATATAAGAGAAACCCGGATATAAGAGAGATTTTCACTGGTCCCAAATTAGAGCCTGTGTTAATGTATATAAAATAGACCAAACCCGGATATAAGAGAAACCCGGATATAAGAGACTTCTTCTCCGGTCCCGACAACTCTCTTACATCCGGGTTACACTGTATTTCCTATGGTGCGATGTTGGTGCAAACTTCAGTATTCGCTATCAGTCTTTTTCGATGTAATAAAAACTATTAATTTAATTTCTGAAGGCGATATTATTATTCCTTTATTAAATGAATGTGGTGTTTGGTTGTCTTTTTACAGTTATACCTTCCAGTTTTTTTTTGGGGGGGGGGAGTTTTGGGGGTCGGGGGTGCTGTAGTTGATTTTTACTGTTTATATCGTAGTCTGTTTTCGCATAACTGACATGCATTTGTTAGATGTTGTTGCGTTAGTTGAAGATATATGATTTACTTGAGACTATATAGATACATGGCGATATTTTTTTATTCTTAAATTAGAGGAAATTTTCTTCAAACTAAAACTATTGAAGTCGTAAGAGTGCGTACAATTGGCTCATTATTCCTTTTTTTTTTTTTTTTGGTTTAGTCACAAATGATTTAATTTTCTATATTTATCAACTTTGTTCTTCAAAAGAACGTAGATTTATGTTCCATTCAGTTATATATTCACGATTCTTTGTAACGACTTGTTGCCACTTCTCAGACAGCTCTTTGATAGAGTGAAATTTCACATTTTGATGTCAAGAAGTTTCCCATGAACACTTTAATCTGGTTTGCATTACAGATAGTTTCTACCCATCATAGCGTTTTACAGCGATCAAAAATGTAATAATTGGTTGGTACAAAGCCAGGTATATATATATATATATATATATATATATATAGCGGGCGACGTAGAATAGACCAAACGAGTTCCAGGTAATTTCTTTGTTATTCTTGCTGTAAGCTTTTTCCTTTAATCCACTGTGTACGCTGACACTACTGTGCAAAAACTAAGATATATTATTATTCTCTTAATTTATTCTTAACTGCCACTTATGATTGATAGTTAGGATGATATATTCGTCATTACAATTGGTTTCCCAAAACGAAAATTACTTATGACTCAACCGAGTAGCCTTGAGAGGCAAATTCTATTTCTGACAGCTGGGAAGCACGCGACTGACTCTGCTCGAAGTGAGATTAACAAATTGAGCTGAGTAGCACAGTAGAAGCTTCACTACAGTTTCTTTCCACTTTGCTGTATACTTAGGTGGATGGCGTCGTCTTTCGGGAATGGGTGACTCATGTTCTCCACGATCGGTTCCTTTCTTGTCTTCCATAAGAGGATTGACGTTAAGACTCATTAAAATAAAATTGCGTTTCTGTATCTGTTATATCATGCGAGCCTCTTTTTCTTCTCTGTTGCTGCCTGTATAGAGATCACGGTTTGCGGTGTATTTTGTTTCTAGTATTTATATCGCTTCTTTATACCTTCAGAACTGCATCAAAAGGAAAACATAATTAGATTAGCCGACCAAAGCACAACACTTGTCAAAATAATGTTAATATTAATCGTTTCCTTATAAGGAAAAAGTATTCATTGACGCAGGAAGAAGCAGCTGAAGTTTCTGGAATACATAATGAGGAAGGAGGTCCTGGAGAATCTGATACTCACGGGTCGAATAGTGGGAAAGAGACAAGAGAAAACATCGCGTGACATACCTGGCAGGCTTAATCAAGTAAATGATAGAACGTGGTCTAGGAGAGAAAGCAGAGTGAAGGAACCTCTTGAGAGCTGCAAGGGATAGAGGAAGGTGGAGAGCCATGATTGCCTACGTTCTGAAAGGACATGGCACATAAAAAGAAAAGAATTCATTGACAGAACAGCCAGTGCTGCTCATAGTGAAATTGTGGAACTGTATTGACTGTCTTATATATGTGTTGTCTTGGCGTAAGGAAAATATGGGTTAGTAATTTTATCTGAGTTAAATATAGGACAGATGAAGACCAGCCCTCCCCATTGCCTCTTGGCCATAGGCTATATTTCTTGTATTTTAACAAGAATAAATATTGCAGTCAGTACTACTCTAACTCTTTACTTCACTCCCTGGCCATTGTGCTGGGACAAAAGGATAGTATCGGTAATATTAACCGTTTCCTTATAAGGAAACAATCAGCATTGACAGCGAAGCCAGTGTTACTCAAGTTTGGTTTTTCTTCATTCTTTGGCCATTGGGGTGGAATTAGAGTATATTATTTGTTCTCCTCATTTCTCGTGTTAATATTAGCCGTTCCATTATATGGAAATATTCGACGTTCATTGACGGAGCGGCCAATGTTACTTTTTGTTGAAACTTATGAAATCTTTCTCTTGAAAGACTTTTTTACAAAAATATACCTCACAAGCCAAATAACGATTATCTTTGTTTCCAGTATTGATGGAGGTTTTCTTCCTACTTTTGATGGCGTGTAGAACGTCAACTTCTTGATTATGTTAATATTTTCTCTTCGTGTTACGTGTGCTATCGATTTTAGTCGTTGCTGTTTTTGAATTCCCTCAAGTAATGTGGTTACTTTTATTTAATAAAGTGTTATTCTTTTGTTTTGTTTTTTTTTTGTTTTTTTATCATTTCACCCCAAGCCAGACGTTAATGCCACTAGTACGCAGTGGGGTGGGTAAAGAAAGGATTGAGAAACGGACGATAGATGAACGGGATTCAAGAAGACAGAAGATGGCGATTGACGCTGCATTTACATTTTCGAAGATTTTAGTTATCAAGGAAGCAAATAAACGGAAGGGAGTTCCACAGGTGAGAAATGCGAGAAAAGAAGCTGTTGGAGTAGAAGTGGTGGTTGTATTTAGTTATTTCAACAGTAAGACGGTGAGACTTATCTGCCAATCTAGTAGCAAGCTTAAATTCATGTCGTCGGAGTAACAGGGGGAAGAGCTCGTAAGAGAAGTTGCCATGAAGATATTTGTAGAAAAAACAGAGGGAAGCCACGTCATGTCGGTGAGAAAGTGATTGAAGTCGAGATGCCAGGTCAGGATCGATTATATTACAGATCCTTCTTTGGATTTTGTCAAGAATCTCGAGATGTACTTGTTAAAATTCAAAGAAGCATTTATAATGTAATCGACCCTGACCAGGTTTGTGATTCAATAGTGCCAGACCGCAACTGAACAAAAAAGACTACGAAACAATGCATATCTATCCGCACAACACAATCAACCCACAAAAAAAGCTTACCGATAATGACCTGTGAAAGTGAAGACAGTGGACAGTGTCTACACACGCACGTCTTTCCTCATCAGATATCTGGCGTTGTGTCGGAATTTGAGAAGTGGGTTGTGCCTCCTGGTGAATGTGAGTACACGAGGGTGGGTCAGTAAGTGCTTAGCCCGAAACGTAGTGATTTGCTGAAATCTCACCCAAAACGCTATCTTTATAGATCTCGTTTATGAATATTCCTCTCTCTCTCACATACACACACACACATATAATTGTACATTCGGGCAGCAATCCATCTTTTATACTAGTTTCATTGAAGACGACTAACAAGCGTAGCAATTAAGCTTTTTAATAAACTTTTCGTGCATTTGTGATTTCTTTTCTGGACGTAGTGTATAAAAACTGTCCA